AAATGATCCAAGACTCACTTAAGATTCAAAGATACAAATAAGTTGAAAGTAAAAAGATATGAAAAGCTAGTCCATGCAAATAATAACTAAAAGAGAACTGCAGTGATTGCACTAATATCAGACAAAGAAGAAAATATCTTAAAGAAGAAAATTGTTACTAGAGAAAAAGAAGGCCATTATATAATGAAAAAAATGATCAATCAATCACAAAGATATAATAATTATCAACTTTATGTACCTAACATAAAAGCCCCAAAATGCATGAAGCAAAATATGACAGAATTGAAGGAAGAAATAGACAATTCAAAAATAACAGTTGGAGACATTACTATCTGAAGTTTGATAATGGATACAGCAAATAGGTCAGCAAGGAAACAGAAATATTAAATAACACTGAAAACTAAGTAGACCTATTAACTCACTAACTAGATATATTAACTAACTTGATATGTAGAACACTCCACCCATCAAAAGCAGAACACAAGTTCCCATGTGAACATTAAACATTCTCTAGGATAGCCATCCATATATCAGGAACAAAACAAGTATCAATATTTTAAATAAATGAAATAATGCAAGTTATATTCTTTTACTACAATGGAATTACGTTCTTTGACTACAAATTATGTTCTTAGACTACATTCTCTAGGATAGTCATATATCAGGAACAAAAAAGTATCAATGTATTTAAATAAATTAAATACAATGGAACTACCATGGTTCAAAAATAAGTAAAAATAAAAATTAGAATATACTTTGTATTAATGAGAACCAAAATAAAACCAACCAGGACTTATGGGATACAGCGAATGTATATGGAAGTGAAATAACCCCCAAATAGTCAAATAATTTTTAAAAAGAAAAATAAAGAGGGCTTACATTTTTTGTTTTAAAATTTAGTACCAAACCACAGTAATCAAGACAGTGCAGTACTGGCATAAGAAGAGGCACATAAATCAATGGATTAGAATTGAGAGTCTAGGACAAAACAAAAAACAAAGAAAAACCATACATCTATAGTCAGTTGAATTTTGATAAAGGTGTCAAGATAATTTTATGGAGGAAAAAGTCCTTTCAAAAAATAGTTCTGAGACAACTGGATATGGTTAAAAAGTGGAAACAACCCAACTATTCATCACCTGATGAATGGATAAACAAATATCGTATATCCATACAGAATATTATTCAGCCATAAAAAGAATAAATTACTGATATATCTTGAAAGCATTAAGCTGAATAAAATAAAT